GATGAATCATGCCAAATCTTGGACTAGGAATACTTGAGGACACAGAGAGAACTTCAGAAGTATCAAACAAATAATATTTTGATTACCTGTGTCAGCAGCCTTCAAATTCCTTCACTTTTCCTGTTGAGAAAATAACCTTTTACAGCTGTTGGGGATGAGGAGCTGAAAATCAGTGAGCATTAAGGAAGTATTTACTTGCCCTATCAGAAATCAGACTGACACAATTTAATCACTTTTTACTGGTATAAAAGTCCTATTCATACTTGTCTCCATGCAGGTCTGAAGAGGCAAACAAAGCCTTTTCTGCAGCTGTGCAAATGCATGATGTGTTGGTGAAGGCCTGGGCCATGTGGGGGGACTACCTGGAGAACATCTTCGTGAAGGAAAGGCAGCTTCACCTGGGAGTGTCTGCCATCACCTGCTACCTGCATGCCTGTCGTCACCAGAATGAGAGCAAGTCCAGGAAGTACTTAGCAAAGGTAAGATGGACATGGTTGGAGCTCTGATTCTCTTCTAAACCTTTGGAAAGGTTTAGATAATGGTCAGGGCCCAAACTTGTGCAGTTAAAGAAACAGTTAGTGATGGAAAGCTTTAACTGAGATGGAAAGTCTACATGTATTGGTTGCACATAACTCATCTTGGGTGTTATTACTTCGCTGGGATATTTGCGGGAGTTCGCTTACAAAGAGGCGACGCCATTATCATTTTCTTGAATGTCTCATGACTCCTTTATTTACAAAAGTGATTCTTTTATACACACCTATTATAAGTGCCCACTTATCATTGGTTAACTACAGTTACTAGCCCATCTTACACACAATAGAATTGGTTATTAGCATATCAATCATAAAATGCTTAACCATTATTCTCCACCCCTAACTATATTCAACTTCTGCATCCCACTGCCAGGACCTGCTTATCTTGCTCCCTTCTTCCTCGCATTCCAGCCGCAGCAGTGTCCTTGAACAGCTTGGCTTGCAGCTTGCTCAGGCCCTGCTAGCATGGCCAGATTGCTCACGTCTGTTAGCAATCAGAAATTCTCCCACAGATATTTGGGGTGTCCTTTAGATATGGAACCTTTTCCGTAGCTTCATAGTATGTTAAGGGGTTGGAATGGAGCTTAGAGATCATCCAGCCCCAACCCCTGCCCTGGGCAGGGACACCTCCCACCAGAGCAGGTTGCTCAAGGCTTTAGGCATCCTGGCTGTGAACACTGCCAGGGCTGGGGCAGTCACAGCCTCCCTGGGCAACCTGTGCCAGTGTGTCACCACCCTCACAGGAAAAACTTCGGCCTGATATCCAGCCTAAATTTCCCTCTTTGAATTTCTCCCCATTACATCTTGTCCTGTCAGTGCAGTTCCTAAGGAAGAGTCAGGTTAGTGGGTGCATGAACAGCTTGCAGCTTGCTCAGGCCCTGCTAGCATGGCCAGATTGCTCACGTCTGTTAGCAATCAGAAATTCTCCCACAGATATTTGGGGTGTCCTTTAGATATGGAACCTTTTCCGTAGCTTCATAGTATGTTAAGGGGTTGGCAGATTGCTCACGTCTGTTAGCAATCAGAAATTCTCCCACAGATATTTGGGGTGTCCTTTAGATATGGAACCTTTTCCGTAGCTTCATAGTATGTTAAGGGGTTGGAATGGAGCTTAGAGATCATCCAGCCCCAACCCCTGCCCTGGGCAGGGACACCTCCCACCAGAGCAGGT